TAACTGAATTCAGCTGGTGTATAAATTTTAAGCATAAACTTTTTAAGGTTGTTTGCATGAATTATACTTGTTAAAATCAAATTTTGTATTTAAAATGAATTAAAAAGGGTCGCACTTGATTTAAATTGACATTAGGACACTATGAATATAGCCTTGTATTCATATTGTAGCAACATTGAAAAGTTGCGCTGAATTTTCTTTATGAAACAATGCATTCTTAAGAAATTCATACAAAAGCTATCAAGGCAGTGCATGCTACTACAATAATTCAGAAGTAGTAATTTAAGCATAGAATCTGTTATTCATTAAGCAGTTCTTTTGTCAGGCTTCTATGCAAGTATAATATAGGAAAGTTCAAAGCATTTCTGAATAATTTTTGAAGTGAGCATACATCTAAAATCTCTTGACAAAGTTAAGCAGTAAAAATAAATTGCTTTAGTTCTGAGTACCAATAAAATTATTTGCACAGTGCCTTGAAATGTTAAGCTTTAAGCCCCTTATTCTTAAAATAGTACATATAAAAGCAGAGTATTCTAATCCCCAAATATCCAAAATACCCCTTTCTTTAAAAGCAATGGTGTACAAATATTTATTATGAAAAATAAATAAATACATATTTTTCATAATAAACATTAAGAACTGTTCTTGCAGACACTGGGGTTTGAAAATATTTACAAAGGGATTATGGTTTTTTTTAAATGAAAATGTTAGTTGACCTATTGAGCTATATTCTCAATGCAATCCTACACATTTCTACTCCAAAGTCAGTCCCATTGAGTTTAATGGTACGTACTCTCAGGTAAGTGAGTAGATTTTTTAAAAATCAGATATTTTATTCATAAAGACTAAGGACATTTTTTTCTCAAGAAACCAGTATGAAACTTTGAACACAAATATGCTTGAAATATAATTATATTTCTAACCACTTTTAGGTCAATCCTGATATCTAGGCACCAAATGATATTTTTAATGACTACACAGATGAAGCTGTGCTTGACTATGCTAAATATTAAAGGCTACTGTTGAAGCAATTTGAACTATAACATGAACAGACCTTTTTCAATTTACTTTTATAAGTCATGCAAGATTGCACAAATATGGTACCTAAGTTCTCTACTTTTGAGATAATTAAAATCCAAAAACATATATTTTGTAATATATTTGTACATCTTACTATATAGGAGATTTTATTAAAATATTTTAATACTTTATATTATTAAATGGGAGTTATTTGCAAATCTCAGTCTTCAACTGTGTCTTAATTGGAATTTATTTAATTTGGTCAGATTAGAAAATAGGTTTTCCTTGTACAGGAGTCCTAAAATTGGCAATTTTAAATGACAGCATGTTTTGATATATCAGTACATGAAACTGAGTTTTTTCAAAAATAAAACACTGATTTTCTGGGATCCCAGTTTGTATTAGCAGTTTTAGTGTTTCATTTCTTAATCGGCATTAAAGACAACGTGCTAAGCTTGACTTCTAGTTATTAGATAGGCATAGCTGTGCACTTTTCATAGTGACTATAAAATGGTTTGCTATTTATTCTATGTTTTTTGACTAGCTGAAACTGTTATTCCCTGTGGATCTGTCAGGGTTATAATCTAAGCCCAAGTAAGGTGTGCCTGGTACTAACACTTGCTGAGATGGATAATTAGTGCTGTGGCTATACTCTGATATTCCCTAAATTGGGTTTTAATTTGCTAGATATAAAAAACATTGATTTGTCGTCCAATTTTACTTTCAGTGCCTCTGCACTCTTGCCTTATAGGCATCTAAGTATCCAGACTTATATCCAGGAAATATAAGGCTTTCCTCAGGAAAACATTCTATTTCAAATTAATTCCAAATTATGTAACATCATAAACATTTCGTATAAAACTGAAAGGGGAGATTAACCTTCTGCAAAACGTTTAGTTTTCCACTTGCCGTTACCAGTTTTAATCAAAAACAGTTGAGTAGAATTTTAAGGTATACCATTTGATTTGTTGTGCTTTGACATCAAACATATGCTTAGGAGAAATTATACAAATGGTAACATTGCTAGGACACCTGCCTTTCAGATATTAATATTTCAGTTGTCAGCTATTTTAAAATAGATTTGCAATACTTAATTTCAGGATATTCCCAATTGCTGTTAAACACTATGAGTAATTAAACTAGTGAGCCTAACTCCATGATCCCAATTACACACTTTTGGAAAATGCATTGACTGCCCTTTGTAAGTGATAGTGTTTTGACTTTCCACCAGCTTTTAAAACAGGATACTGATTGTTTCTTCTTGGCCAAAAGAAGAGTTACATGAGTGACTTCAATCAAACACTTGTTTGTTGTGGGCAAGATTTGATTATTGCAGGAAATAATGTTCTCTTTTCTAGTTAACTTAGAATTGACATTGGTATTGCACAAGTGGTATTTCTCAAATGGCTTGTGTAATGTCCCCTTATCTCCAGTCTGAAATGAGAAATACGAAGTCAGCAGTAATCATTGTGAAGTGCTTAGTAGATCCAGTTGAAAATGTGCTAGGGTTTCCCTTCCCCAATCCTATCTCCATGATCCTACTACTAGAAGAATGTCAAGACTACTGCTGTATTTAAGATTATGTCATCCACCCTGAAAATTAAAGCTTAGAAGTTAAATGATTGTGTTAGGGTTGCCCAATGTTTTGCCAGCTAATAAACACTTGGTATGCTGCTCAATCTCCCTATTGGATAAAGAAACTGCATGGCTGTTTCTAACCAGATGCCAGATATATAAATAAAACATAAAAATTATACTGTATATACTTCAAGCATCTCCATTAAATCTGACTCAAGCTAGGTACAATTATCAATTTTTCTGATTTTGTTAGGATAACTTCTCCACTATCCTAAATATTGACAGTGGTTCCCAAGTCATGGCTTTTAGAAGACTTGACTCTTAAAGGATGTCTCAAACTTGTTTATCCATTTGGTTTGTCACAAGGCTCTGTGCATCCTCAGTCATGTAAAAACTATTGGTCTGGCTATCTTATCTCTGCCATCTATTTTATAGAACAAATTTGAAATGCTTATCTGTGGGAAAGGTCACTGGTACTTTGGTCTAGCCATATTCAATTAAACATCTAGAAACTGTATAGTTTGAATCATGTAAGACAAGATTCAGCATTTCTTGTTTAATGCCAAGGTGTAGGATTAAATACTTTAGGTTTTTTTTAATTTATTTTGCACTGTATATAACACCTTGATTACATGCAGTGTATATTTTTGAATTCCTATGTTTAATTTGTAAAAGCAATTACAGGTTTAACAAGTAAGGAAATTTGTGCTTCCTTCTTGATGGTTAAATTATTTTATTCTGCATTTTATACGAGTACAAATAAAAACTGAGCCATCAAACTGCAATAAATCAACAGTAGTATTTCATTTAAAAATTTTGTATTGTAAATAGATTTATTCAATAAAATTATTGTTCAATAAAATATTAAAGATATGTCTGGAATTTGGGAAAAAAATCATTTGATTTTGTTAGTTGTAATATTGCTATGCAGCAGCTAGCAAGACATTTTGTATAGTTTTAATACGAAACTATCCTGAAGCAGGTGACACTATTAAATAAACAAGCACTAACCTGCTTGAATGCACAATTTGGTAACATGAACAACTGTAGTGTAGAGTATAAAATGGCAAATTTAATATGAGCTGTTAAAAGGGTTTGTTTTTTTTTTGAAACAAAAATTCTAGTTACAGCCTGATTTAAAAAACCACCCCAATAACAATACTGAGCTCAGGGAATGGATTTTGAGAACCCAAATTGAGCCATGTTCTTGTTAAAAACATTTCCTCTTTTTTCTTCTGATCAGTGTCTTTTAAGGTGGAGCTATTTGCTTTTCTATAAAATCATTGGGAATTAGAGGTCCTTCCTGTGAATCATTAACAAGATTTTCTTCTTCTGTTCAATCGTGTCCAGTTCTCAGATTCAAAGTCCCATCAGTTTTCTTGGCAAGGTTTTTCAGAAGAGGTTTTGCCTTTGCCTTCTTCCCATGGCTGTGAGAAAGCCCGAGGTCACCTAGCTACTTTTGCGTCTAAGGAGATCCTAGAACTCGCAATCTCCCAGTTTGTAGCCGGATGCCTTAACCACTGCATCAAACTGACTCTCATTCACAAGATTAATCTGCAATTAAAGAATCTTACTTTGTTTTTCACTTTGTATCCCGAAGTTCCTTTTCGTAAAGACTTAGCCTTACATTGTAACTCATATTTGGGATGTTATAAATTTCCAAAACGTGTGCGTATTACTCAGTCCCGTAGTTACATTGTGTATTTGGGAAAATGTATGTTTTTTAACAATTATTTTATGCTTTCGATATGGCATTGGAAAATGAAATTTAACTTGGAAATATCTTAAGAGGGATGGCATCACCCCCTTGTTCTTTTAATGAATCTTCCAATTATGATATCGTGATATATTTTAATATCCTCACATTTGACACGGTTCTCGACATGGTAATCTACAAATAAGTTGTGGTCAAATAAAATAGCTGAATAGAAGAGCCTCTGTTAAAAAAAAAGTGGGGAGAAATAAACGCGCGCGGGCACGTACGTTTTGTTAATATTATTTGGTTTAACTTTAGTTCCAAAACAAAGTTTTAGACAAAGCTTACAACAAACAGCTACATACATTTTATTCGGGAAAATAAAGCTAATTGCAAAAAAGAAAAGCGCGGGATAGAGAAAAGTTTTCGTGTTTTGCAAAACCAGAGCTGGGTATTGAAAGACTATATATCTTGCCGACTAGTTGAAGTACTAAAGTTAAAAAAAAAAACAGAAACCTCCATGAAGATTAATAATAGATTAATAATAGCGACGGAACTACAAAGGCCGCTTCTGTTCCGAGCCGAACAGTTTTCACCTGCGCTCTCCGTGTCGATTTGTCGAATTACGAAAGCACGGAAGCTTGGGGGAGGCGTAAGACACAACAGGCGGAAGTGGCGTTGTTCCGCCCTGCGTCGCTCGGTTGTCAAGGTTTCAGGCAGCTGCTCCAGCTGCGCGGTGGTCTGTGCTCCCCGTCTCGCGCTCGAAGAAGCAACGCGCCTCCCCTCCCCCCCATCAATATGGCTTCGGCTGGGGCGGGGATGAACGAGCGCGAGCGGGACGGCTGCCGGGAGCTGTTGGAACTGCTCCAGACCGACGATCTGCTGGCTCTAGCGGACACGGTGACCAGCCGCCTGGTGCAGCCCAGCAACCGCCAAGGTATCTTAGGGGCTAGATAATCAGTGTTTCTCAACCTTGACAATTTTAAGGCATGTGGACTTCAACTCCCAGAATTCCACAGCCAGCATTGCTGGCTGTGGAATTCTGGGAGTTGAAGTCCACATGCCTTAAAATTGTCAAGGTTGAGAAACACTGAGCTAGAAGGACCCGGTATCCTAATGAGAGTTTGAAAAAGGCATTTTGGGCCTCCTCTGGAAAGATGTACTTCTTGACTTGAGGTTCATTAATTCAGCCTGGTATTTCCTTATGACCACTTATCGGAATGAGATAATAATAATAATAATAATAATAATAATAATAATAATAATAATAATAATAATAATAATAATAATAATAATAATAATAATAATAATAAAGTTGGAGGGGACCTTGGAGGTCATCTAGTCCAAGCCCCTGCTCAGGCAGGAAACCCTATACCATTTCAGACAAATGGCTGTCCAGTCTCTTCTTAAAAACTTCCAGTGTTGGAGCATTCACCACTTCTGGAGGCAGGCAATATCTGGGAATATCCCAGATATTCGTTTCCTCAGCCCTCCTGTAGTCTAGGCGGGGGTTCTTCTTCAGGTATGCCAGAAGTATTTGGGCCTGCGATATCCTTCAGCTGCATTCATACAGTGAGGTTTCTCTCCCACTTATTGGCGAGGCACAGGTGTTTTGCCATAGAAATTGCCTATTAACAGATAACCTGGTTTGAAAATAGCTTGAAAACTGACGCCGGGCCCTGTGACTTCTATTCATCAACGATAATCGAGTTTCTTTAAACAACTTTGAAAAAAGGGTGATGGCGGCACACGATGTGGAACAAATATTTGTTTCATGTCCAATATCTGGCTGTTACGGTTAAGGTTATCCAGAGTAATTTATGGAATATATATATATATGATTCTCTATATTTTTGAAGCACTGTTTCCCTTAGTATTGTGTTTTGGTTACAGTATCAAAACGCTCTTACCTTTTTCAAAAATGTTTTAAAAGTAACGTTTTTCAAACTAATGTTCCTCTTCTTTTTAAAAGATTTTTTAAAAGCGTTGTGGTAGGAATCAAGAATGTAAAAATAATTTATCATTTTGCTACGGTAGGCTTTTCCTTTTAAAAAAAGCTGCTTCAATAAAAATCTTACACGGAGAACTATTGCAAGTAAAATTGCAGTAGTTTTCCCACTGTCAAAAAAACTGTCAACAAAATCATTAGCTGTATATTTGTTTGTAATTTGTTTTTCCTTATAGTCTTCTGACAAAATATTTTACTAATTAAATATATTAGCAGATAAAATTAGTGTATTATTTCAGTATAAACAGTTTCTTTGTTCAGATACTATTTATAGAGCAATGGGAAAGTAATATGCCCCAGAGCAAACCATTGTGATAAAATCATTTTGTGCTGGCTCTATTATTACTTGAATGATGATTTCATACAGCTTTCATATCAGTAATAGCACATCTACAGCATATTTAGTATATCTTAGAGTTGTCTGTAACTTGTAGGTAAATAATTAAAATATTTGAGCACTATTAAAGTGAGTGATATTCATGATCCTGCAATCTTTGAGAACCTTATAAATTCTATTTAATATGTTTATGCACATAATTAAAAATGCACCAGTTTAATCAGTTTTCTTCTGATTGCCAAACTAAGCAGAAATATTCACTTTCCATTCTATCTTTACAGCCAAAATAAAGCTTCTTAAAATGTTCTGCTCACATTAATGGTGTGTATATTGGTCTATATTTCAAAATACACCAAATGAAGTAACAGGTCAATGTTCAAAATAGTAAATATGATTGTTTCTTGCATTATTGACCAGTTCTTTTGCTAGTGGGGCATTTCATAGGCCATGGGTAACATATTGCTTTTCTCACTTGGGATGATGAGACTTGATTATAGGAATCTTTATTTTCGAGTGGGTGAAAGAGTTCTACATTTTCAGCAAATCAGGAAGCTGGTTCTTTAATTCAGAATTACTAATGATTATGTTTAGCAGATCTTTATAAAATGGCTTTTTCTGTGCTACGTCTTTTGCTAACCTTTCCCCCAATATAAAATTCCTTTGACCTCAGAGAAAGAAGGAACAGCTTCAGCAGCAAAATTGCCATCTTTGTTACATATTTATAATTTAGAAATATATGTTCAGAATTTTACATGGTTTACAATCAAATTACTAGTTTTCTTTTGCAATAAAATTAATTTTAGGTAATATATCTATTTCTGAATTTGTTTATAGAAGCCATAAATGTCATCTTGCTGTACAGTCAAAGTGCCGAAGAGCTGTTGAAAAGAAAGAAAGTATTTCGAGAGATAATCTTCAAGTACCTGGCAACAAAAGGAGTTATAGTGCCACCTTCTTCTGAAAAACACCAGCTTATTTATCGTGCAAAGGAGTACTGGTGTGAAGGACTGAAAGTCTGTGCTTCAGAGCAAACATATACTAATCCTAGTATACAGGTGAGGTGCATAAATAATAAGCGATGCCAAAAATATTTTACAATTATATTTGATTATTGAAACAATAATACACTTAAACTGCTCTTCAGTGGATTTGCAAGGAACATTTGTGATTTCTTTTTTTATTCATTGCCGGCCTCCCTGTTGCATAGCAATCTCCTGCCTGAGTTCATTGACTTCATCTCTCAGTTGGCAGAGAGGTCTTGGGAGACTTCAATCTGCCTACCATGGGAATTGGGTCTGAGGTTGCCAAAGGGTTCATAGCCACCAGGACAGCCATGAGAAAATCCAGAGCCTGGCACTGGACTGTGTGATCTGAAATTGGGGGAGCTTTTGGTATCCACTTGTCGTGGTAAGATCACACCCTGATTACCATGGGATTCTCTGACATTTCCATCTGCTGCAAGAAAGTTAGACCCATTAGATTAGTTCATGCCTGGCAGCTGATGGACCTTGATGGGTTTCAAAGGGATTTGTGGGTTGTTTCTGCTGCTCTGTTGCATGATCCATCTGAAGACACAGCCACCACTTGGAATAAGAGGGCAACTGATGTCTTGATCTGATTGCAGGAATGCAACCTCTAACCCAGGGCTTTTCAACCTTTTCACCAATTGTACCACTTTTATGATATGGCAATATTCAAGTACCACCAGTTGGCTAGCAAGGTGTCAAAAAGTGATAAAGTACAGGTAGTCGTTGACTTACAACAGTTCGCTTAGTGACTGTTCGAAGTTACAATGGCACTGAAAAAAGTGACTTATGATCATTTTTCACACTTATGACTGTTGCAGCATCCCCAGGGTCACGTGATTTACATTCGGATGCTTGGCAACTGAATCGGGGATGTTGTGTAAGTGGGTTCTAGTGGTCATAAATTCTTTGATTGAGAGGGTTGTTCGATTACTTCTTTAAAATACCATGGTTTGCTCCCTGAGGAAGTCATTGATGAACCTGTATTGGAAATTTTTCTTACGGTATTGAACATTCCCTTTTTTGAGAATATGATTGAGAAGATGGTTGTGCAATAATTTCAGAAGGCCCTGGATAAATTGGATTATCTAGATCCGTTTCCATCAGAATTCAGATCCAGACAAATGGGTTGAATTTTTGAATTTTCTCTGCTATGGGCAGGATGAGTTTTGCATCCATCCTTACTCTGCTTGATTTTCTGGCTGTTTTCAATACCAACAACCATGGTATCCTTCTGGTTCAACTCAGAGGATTGGGAGTGGGTGGCATGGTATTATGCTGACTTGCCTTTTTTCTTAGGGGCAATTTCAATTGGTGGTGATGGGGGGAGAGATCCCGTCCTTGGCCCTTACTGTGTGGAGTCCTGCTGTGTGAGCTCATTTATTGCCATGGGGTGAGATACCATCAGTATGCTGATATCTAATTATACATCTCTGCTGTGGCAAACTAGGCAATTTTGTGGATGTCTTATCCTGCTGCCTAGACACTGTGAGGGTCTTATTGGAAAATAACAGGCTTCAACTGAATCCTGGCAAGTCTGGATAACTTTGAGTTTTTGGGCTCACCATTTCTAGACTGTGCCTTATTTGGTGCTGGATGAGATTGCACTGCCCCGCACAAATCCTGTGTACAATCTGGGGATTTCCTTAGACTTACAATGACTGCAGCAGGCGGCAGTCTTGGTTAGGAGAGCCTTTAGTCAACTTTATTGTGCATCAGTTGATCCCATTCCTGGATCAAGTAGCTCTACTTACTCATCTAATCACCTCCTGGTTGGACTACTGTACTGTACTTTACATAGAGTTGCTCCTGAAGAATATTTATAGTGGGTAGTTATGCGTGATTCCAGTAGAAGACATGTTACATTTCTGCTTCATGGCGCAATGGGTTACTAGTCTGTTTATGGGTCTAATTCAAGTTGCTGTATTTGACCTTTAAAGCTTTACATAGCATGGGACCACATCATTTGGGCGACCACCTCTCTTCAATTACATCTACTTATCCTACTAGATCCACCAGAGAGGTCATGTTGTGCGTCCCATCAGCTGGGGAGCTTCATTTGGTGGGTCCTAGGCAGCAGGCCTTTTCTGTTGTGGCTTCAGCTTCATGGAATACCCTTTCCACTGAAGTGACACTAGCTTCATCCCTTTTTAATGTTGCTGAAGTCCCTCATGACCTGGTTGTGTCATTGGGCATGAGGACCCCAAGGAACTAGCAAAATATGATGATGACTCCAGTGTAATTAACATCTATTCTTCACCTAATCTGTTTTTTAAAATTTTGTTTTAGTTTTATAACTTTTATAATTTTAATTTTATAATTTTTATAGTTTTTAATATTAGTTTATGTTATTTTCAACTCTATTGTATGCCACACAAAGCCACTTGTTTGTGAGCTGGACAGCCATGTAAATATGACAAATAAATAAAATTGTTCACTCATTTTTATTATTATTGTGTCCTACTTATATGGAATTCAAAAATATAAAAAACAAAATAAAACCCTTTTCTTTGTACATGCTTTTTTATTAATTTCTAATAACTATCTTTTCAATTACAGAACAAATAGGATTGTCCTATAAATTATATTTTATATGTAATTCTGAAAAGATGAAATATATTTTTCCTACTTTGATATTGACCTTTAAAGCCCTACATGACATGCCTTGATATATTACACACACATATAAACACTATAAAATGTCACTATTAGCTATTAACAGATTAAAAATAAAAATATTCAGTGTTTTCAGACAATTCACAATATCCTTCAACTAATCATTCACATTCACTCCACAAAATTCATCTAAGGGTCTTTTACTTAATTCTAAATTTTCATAAATGAATAAGATTTTTCAAATTATGTTAAAAAGGTACTGAAGCCAATAACCTGTTTATATATTTAAGAGATACATTTCATAATATATTTTACCGGGGCTTTAGTAATTTGAAAGAAGTAGATGTAGAAAATGTTTGTCTCCTCAGTTATAACTCACTGGGTTTAGGAATGAAAAACTGCATTTTGCCTTGTTAAAAGCCACTGCTTTTTCTTGCAGAGTCATGTTGAATATTAAAAGATTAAATCAATTCAGCTACCAGCTGGAAAATACTCAGTATAATTGTTCGATAGGAGTTTTAAAATGGATACTTTCAGTTACTTTTCAAGCTTCTATTTTTTGCAGAAGTCATAAACATTGACTTCTACCATAGAATTAGTTTGAAAAAACTGACATGTAGTTTTATCAAATTTTATGTAATATAACAATGATGGCGAACCTTTTAGAGACCAAGTGCCCAAACTGCAACCCAAAACCCACTTATTTATCACCGGGTGCCAGGTGGGCGTGGCCCACTGGGTGGTCATGGCTGTGGTGGTCATGGCAGATTGGGTGGGAGTGGCCAAGGTGGGCGTGATCACCTCAATGTTGCTCGTGGGGAGGGTTGGGGGAGATCCAGTGGGGTCTCTGCCAGGTGGGACGATGGGCAAGAGGCTCATCCTGCGGGGTGAGGCAAGGCAAGGCAGGGCAGGGGTGCCATTGTCACAGGGCAAGGTGTGGTAGGGGCAGGGGCGGCTGCTGCCTGACACCATTGACCTCTGCACACAGAGGCCAGCGAGCGCATGGGTGCTGGGATGCATCTGGCAATGTGGGATCTTGGCGAGTTAGTGGGCGGCTGGTTGAAAGGGGACGGTTGCCATCTCCAGGGCATGGCCTGTGTGCCCACAGAGAGGGCTCTGAGTGCTGCCTCTGGCATGCGTGCCATAGGTTCGCCACCACTGTAATATAAGTAACAGTGGATGGGCAGCAAACATATTCTATGAAGTCATTCACGATTATCCTTAACCAGTTTTTAGCAAACATGTTTGAAATGTTTCATGAAATTGTTTGCAGTGCATTTGTTCACAGTCTAAATAGTACATGTCAAACTCGCGACGTCACATGATGTCGCGTGACGTATTGGGAATTTTCCCCCATTGCTGGCAATGGGGTGGGCATGGTTTTGGCGTGATGCATCCGGCATATGGGTCGGCAGTTTAATATGCCTAAAATAGAACATAGAAACACATTATAAAAAACCCCCCATAAATCTTCCATTTGTTTTATAAAATGGATCCAAATAAATTATTATTCATGTACTTAGGCAGTACATAAATATAGTGTACATTCATAAATACTGTTTCAAAGCAAGACCGTTTTTCTGTTACTGTTTCATTCCACTTTCTCTGAATTTTTTTAGGATCTTTTTAATTATCTCTTGTTGTTTTATAAAGTAAAAGTGATTATTTTATTCTACTTCTATGTTGTTTCTTATTTTTCAGCAACCAGAAGATGGAGGAACACGAGGAGATCAAGATGACAACAAAGAGTGTCACAATCTGGCAGAAGAATTTTGTCAGTGGTATTTTAGAATGCTAAACTCTCAGAACCCATTGATTGGAGAACCTCAAGAAGAATGGGGACCACAACATTTTTGGGGTGATGTAACCCTAAAATTTTGTTACAACACCTCTGAACAAAACATGGAAGAGTACTCAGGTGCAGAATTGGTGAGCCTTCGCTTGCTATCATTAGTGAAAGAAGAATACCTCTTCTTGAATCCCAACTTGAATGCAGGCGGCCTGAAGTGTACAGTTTCACGATATGGATTAGTTGTGGTAGCAGTAGCTGGCACAGTTCATAGAAGTACTTGTTGTTTGGGAATCTTTGAACAAATCTTTGGCCTCATCCGCTGCCCATTTAGGGAGAATACATGGAAAATCAAGTTTGTCAATCTAAAGATTGTTGGCCAAAATGCCATAGAGCCTGGGGCCCATATAGAAAGACCACGCATAAAATACGAGCAAGAAGAACTGCAGGAATTTTATGTGTCAAAGGAACTTGCCTTGATTGAGCCTCAAAAATACTGAGCGTTCTGTTTTGCAAAATGAGGGAGAAAAGTATGTGGACCTTGGAAAATACAGCAGGAGAGCATACTCAAAGCATTCAGTAATTTATTTCCTCTTTTTTTTTTTTTGAATTCTTGCTTTCCTGTTGTGACATAATGCTGACTACTGATCATAGAGATTCGCTATTGGTAATGGTTGGCTTGACTCTTGCCCCCAAATTTACAATTCGAAAAATTACTTTGGCAGATTATTTTCTAAATGAGAAGGGAGGGAAGGTGAGAAGATACTCCTACTTTCCTGTCAATTGCTGGAAAGTATTGGAGTGGGTGTGGTGGATGGGGGTAGGAGTGAATAGCCAGAATCAAGTATAAATGAGAAGGATAAAGCATTGGAGATGTAATATTGTCATCTTGACTACTTGTAGCTTCCCTTTTTTCTCCCCTTAGTGGTAGAAGAATAGAGAAGTGTGATGAATCTGTTAAGTTTGCAAGAGATTCTTTTGCCAAAGACTTAATTGTAAGTCTTAGTTAAATAACTTTTCACAACTTAATCTCAGGGTTGTACAAAACAAAGCATTTTGGATTTTTGATAGAATTTTCTGTTAAGATAGCGACATTATTAAAATGATTATTACTTAAATTAGTATCATATGCGTGAAAAGGTTACAGCAGTGCTAAATTTAATACAGAGTTTTCATGGGGAATTTATGAAACAATGCTGCTTTCCTCTATAAAATACTTTGAAATTTGTTATTTGACTTATCATTTGTTATGTACAACCCTTAATCATTTAGCTGTTTACCTATACCTATAACATACTTTTAAAAATACAGGACAATTGTGAAATTATTGAAAAACAAGCACTTTATTTGTGGCAGTTATTACAACTAGTTTATTTCACTTATATTACTTTTTATTCTTAATAAAAGTTGCAATCTTCCAATTAATTATAAAAAGGCAGTATTCTTACTACTTCAGATAATTGTGGAAGAATCAATTCTTCTTACTAGTTCTACTTCTTACTACTTGTGGAAGAATCAGCAGTGAATAGCATAAAGATAGTTTCCAGGTTTTGAACAATTTTATAGATTGTAAAATAACATTTCATTTTATTTTTGGGTTTCCTGAATGATAAAGACTTAAAAGATATGTATGTCATTACAAACAGAGACTTTGTATTTTTGAATACATGGGTATTTAAGAGCATTTCTACACTTATCTACAGTCACATGTACATATATGGGGATTATTTCTAAATATAAACACAATAGCCTACTGCTATTAAATAGGTTTTTTTTAATATGAGACAATTGTTTTTAACAATACTTTGATTTACAATCTGATAGATGTGTCTGCATCCAGATAAAATTTCTTACTGCTGGAAACAAACTGAATGTTATATTTTCCAACTCTTGCCCCTTTTTATTAGGGATTCTTTTTAAGAGCTGACATCTTTGTACTGACATCTTTTTATCATTTCTTTTTAAATCAAAATCACAATGTAAGAGTTGAAAAACTCCATGAAGGTTATTTAATCCAATTTCATGTCTGGTTCAGGAATCTACTCCTACATTACCTTTGTCAGATGCATATTCACATTTTGTTTATATATTTCCAGCTAAAGAAAATTTATCACCTTCCAATTATCACCATTACAAAATTGTTTCTGATGTCCAATCAAAATATACTTCCCTATAATTTAAGTAAATTGTTTGTTGTCTTTTGGGCATGTTCCAGTTTGTCAATGTTCTTCTTAAAATATGCCTACAAATTCTCACTATTCTAGTTATCAACACCAACAGAAGAACAATAATATATTTTAATCTTGATACTGTATATTTATATCAATAAGTCTATGGTTATATTTGCATTTTTATTTTTGCTTTTTTTTTGAAGCTGCATCACTGTTGTCTCATGTAGGAATATAAAGCCATTGCACATATATTCTTATTTTTCCTTCCAGCAACTCTGTGGTATAAGTTGGACAGAGAGTATGACCCAGAATCACCTGGTGAACATCATTGGATGAGGATGGATGAATCTTGATCCCCCTGGTGCTAGTCTATCACCTAACCTCTGCACCATGCTAGCTTTCAAATTTTTAATTTGAAAATTTGTAAGGAATTTGTATTTATGTTGCTGAAATCTCCCCATTCATCCAGTTTGTCAAGATCTTCCTGAATCTTGGGATAGCCCTTGGAGTCTTTGCTATTCCAGCACTCCTCCCATCTTTTTGTTGATCCCGTATTAAGTAGATTTATAATATGTTGAGCAGTACAGGGTATTGAACAGTACCTTGCAATATGCTGCTTCACACTTCCTTTCACCTTAACCTGGAACCTTTGATACATACTTGTTGGGTATAATATGATTGTACCGTCTGCTCTGTATCTAATAGTGTTGCAGGTCAGCTCATATTTTTCTTTTTTTTCTCTATTGCCAAATGTTCTGTCCACCACATTGCTGTGATTAACTAAACCAGTGGTTCTCAACCTTTTTAATGCCGTGACCCCAACCGGTCGTAAGTCGAGGACTAAGCCGGTCGTAAGTCGAGGACTAAACCGGTTGTAAGTCGAGGACTAAACCGGTCGTAAGTTGAGGACTACCCAACCAGTCGTAAGTCGAGGACTTTCCCTGCCCGGGAGCGCTGCACATGCGTGGTTCCGCACCCTGCGCCGGCCGAGGCGTATCTGGCAAGCGGCAGAGACGGAGCAGGCCGACCACCAGCTGGCCCAGCCCAAGGGAGGTAAGGCACCCTCCGGAAAAGGGGAAAAAAATGGCGTACAAAAAAAATGGTGGACAGCCTTGCTTGGCGACCCCCGTGAAATGGTCGATCGACCCCAAATGGGGTCCCGACCCACAGGTTGAGAACCACTGAACTAAACCATTCATTCTACCCAAAAAGATCAGATTTGTTCAGCATGTGACAGCTTTGGATAAGCTTGGCTCTGTCAAATCATGCATTATTTTTAATTGTTAAAAATAATTTGTTCCACAATACTAGTATTACTAGATATCAACATTAGTTTTGTAAATTATCTGGGTTCTTTTCACTCCATCACCAGCTTTTTGAAGAGAAGAGCTGTGAAATGACGTCTGCGTACTTCTTCAAGACTGATGTAACTGAGTTGGTTCTGTAGAAATTCATTCATGGTAGCTCAGTGCTTCCATATCTTTACTCAGCTTGGATTGCCTGTTCCTCTTGATATAAATTGTTCTGCTTAAGTCCATTTGAGTCCAGTTCCCATCTGTTCTCAAAATAAAAATTCAAGAACACAAATTTCTCATGAATGAAGGCAATCATACGTATCCCAAGATAATGTTACAAGATCCAATCTGGATTGGTCTTCTAAGCTTTTGGACTTGTGCTGGAGCCCATCTTCAGGGAGCTTTTCTCTACTGGAATATGTGCTTTTGGCTATTCTATGACTCGTATTTATGTGGTGCCTTCCTACTGGTTGACAGGTGTGTTGATGGTTGGCAATTGGCTGTTGTTTGTTTGTGGTGCCAAACCCTCGGCTTCTAAGTACCTGATAAATTGGTGGTAAATCAGCACTCCTGTTGACTGACAAGGGGCCTGTTTCTTAGGCTTCAATCATTTCCCTAGCTATCAATCAACCAATAGGGAGATACCACATAAATAGGACTCGTAGAATAGCCCAAAGCACATATTCCAGTCGAGAAGTTCCCTGAAGATGGGCTCCAGCATGAGTTCAAAAGCTTGGAAGACTAAACTTCTGGTTCCAGTGACTGACCCAGTTTGGATCTTATACCAATTTCTCCCTATCATCTGTTAACCATCCTTTCATTTTCTGTTAGCAGCAGGCCCGCAAATTTGCTTTTTCTTTCATTACTACTGATACAACCAAAACGATACTTGTTTTGTGGTCTTCAGTTTTTCTTCAAAGCTGTTCCTTTTATGTTTAAGCTTTTCTAACTTGATTTCTGAAAATATTAGTCACCTTCTGATTCCCCTTAGTTCTACCTTCCATTTCTTATGTCTTTTAGTTCTTAGCTCAGTAGAAAGCTCCTTGTATGCTGTAAATCCACAGTAGTATTTTAAGGTGTTCCCCGTGTTTCTTTCTTATTTGAATAGTGTACAATAGTACTTCTAGTATCTTATTTTTGAGAAATTCCTAACCCACATGGACTTTCTTTAACAGAATTTCTGTCCATAAAATCCACATAGTGCTTCTTGTACCTGCTTCAGAAATTTAGTATGCATGTGTGCTTCTGCTCAAAATGAACTTCTTTTAGAATCTGGCAGCCATGACATGATCACTTCCTCCTAAGGTTCCACTGTTTTTACTTAATCAATTAGCTCTTCCTTATTACTTAGTATCTGATCTATGTAAGGCCGTTCTCTTGTCAGTTCCTCAACTTTTGAAAAATGAAACAGATTTTTTGTGTGTGTGACCATACAGTTTTGGCAGAGTTGGCTTTCCAGATAATTGAAATCTCTCTTCCCTGAAAGTTCTGTAATCTAATACAGAAGGGCATTTATCCATCTTCATCCCGGCTTGATTATCTATAGTGCAGTAATTTCATTTATATTTGCCTCTTCCCTTTATTCTTACCTGAATGCTCTTCGCTAGACTTTTATGGTCAAAATTCCTAGATCCTTACATGAAACATTTCCCTCACAAATAATGCCAGTTTTGTCAGGAGGCCTATTCGTTTGAATTTGGCTTACCCTTCAATTCTTGCATTTAAGTCATGAATGTCATCCTGCCAGTTTTCAGTAATGACTACTAGATCACCTATGCCTTTCAGAAAGAAAGCATTTAATTCTTGCTGTTTGTTTTCCACATCCTAAGAATTTATATTGAATCACTGCATACTGGGTCATGCAACTTGATATATTCTTTCCCATATATGCATATCATTATTGGGTGCCTCCACTACCTGTATATTACTGTCAGTTCTTTCCCCAACACTTACTGTCACACTATTTTCTGGGCTATCTTCTCCCACCCTTCAGTTAAGTTTACCAGGTATTTTCTAACCTTTTTTATTATTATTATTTGTCTTCCTTGATTTACAATCACAACGGAGCCCAAAATTTCTGTTGCTGAGTGAGGCAGTTGTGGGTTTTGCCCCATTTTACAACCTTTCTTGCCACAATTCTTAAGTAAATCACTACAGTTAAGTTAGTAACAGGGTTGTTAAGTGAATCTGGCTTCCCCATTGACTTTGCAAGAAAGTCACCAAAAATGGTCACACGACCCCAGGAAACAGCAACCATTGTAAATATGAGTGAGTTGCCAAGCATCTGAATTTTGATCATGTGACCCCAGGGATGCTGCAAGGGTCTTAAGTGTGAAAAATAATCACGTCACTTTTTTCAGTCCCATTGTAATTTTGAACTGTCACTAAATAAACTGTTGTAAGTTGAGGACTACCTGTACTTCATAACCTGCATGAGATGCAGCTGGTCTCTTTCTAGAAGTCTCTCATTAAAAAAGAACAACCCACTAGTATGCAAAGAATCCAGATAATTTGCACCGGCACTATCCGCATACCATTTTTCTTCTCGCAGTATTTTCTCACTTCTTGGGCTCTGTGCTGACCTAATTATAGGCTGCTTGTGTATAGTAAAAACAAAAGGCAAAATACCTTTGCAAAACTGCCTGGATCAATTACTCAGTTGAAGTAATGGTAGGACAAGGTTACACAGTTCTTGCTGTGTTTAACTCAAGGGCAACTTTACCTTTTCCTAGTTCCTGATCAATCAATCTACTAGGCAAATTACATCCTGCTACAAACCAATCTGGTAATCCTCTCCTCCATCTACACCAATCAATAGGATGGGGAGAAGGAGGTGCAAAGGTTAAGAACCGTATTTTATTGCTAAGTGGGTAATGTGTGAATCACAAGAAAAGGTAATGCTAATGTGGAGCTCATTTAACACATGACTTATTCATACAATCAAAAATGGCGAATGCATTTCAGTGAGGGAGAAAAAAAAAGAATCCTCAGAGAGTGTTGCCAAAGCCATTTTGAAAGAATACATTCTTTCTGGATAGTGTGGATATAAGACAGTCCCAGGGGACGGCTCTGTTAAATGTGTTGACTGTTTTAGATTGCCTATGAATAAATCATCAATGTGAGTGAGAGAGCACCACCTTGAGATTCACCTTGTGTTTTCTTTTAGTTTGTTTCTTCTGATGCCTTTCTTAAAATATTAAATGGTGAATTGATGCAAAATTACGTCCTCTTTTGCTGAAGGTGCTCATTGGAGTAAGTCATGTCAAATGCATGTTCTGAAAAATGAAAGGGAGAATATCTATCTAAAAA